GGGCCGGGGATGCGGGGAGCGGGGCCGGCCGTGCGGGCCGCCCGCGGGGCGCTGCCGTGGGCTCGGCCGCTGGTGTTGCTGCTGGCGGCGGCAGCGCTGTGTGCGCGGGCGGGCGACGCCGAGCCCTGCGCCGCGCCCTGCTCGTGCCGCCGAGGCCTGCTGGACTGCAGCCGGCAGCGCCTGCCCAGCGGGCCGGGCCTGCGGAGGATTCCGCCGCTGCCCGCCGGCACCACGGGGCTGTGAGTGAGCGCGGCGGGGCTGCGGGGCTGGACGGGCGGTGGGCTGTGCGCAGGGCTCGGCCTCGGCCTGGCGGGGGCGGGGGCTGCGGGCCCGGGGCCCGGCGGCGGGGGCGGTGCGAGGCCCAGGCTGAACGGCCGGCGGGGCTCGGGGCTCGATGTTCTCACCTCTCTCTGTAACTCCGTGACAGGAGGGTGCAGCCAGGTGGCGGTCGGGCTCTGTTCCCAGGTAACAAGCGATCAAACGAGAGGACCTAGTCTTAACCTGTGCCGGGGGAGGTTCAGGTTCTACATCTGGAGGAATTTCTTCACAGAAGGGGTGATTAGACATTGGAAGGGGCTGCCTAGGGAGGTGGTGGAGTTCCAGTCCCTGGAGGTGTTCAAGGAATCACTGGACGTGGCACTCAGTGCCATGGTGTGATTGACAAGGTGGTGTTTGGTCCTAGGTTGGACTCAATGATCTTGGCGATCTTTTCCAACCTAATTGATTCTGTGATTTTGTGCGCGGGATATTCGCACGGAGTCCGGAGCGCTGCGGGCAGAGCGGCCTGGCACTGTTGCCTGGCTCTCTCGGGGGCAGCGCCGTGGAGAGAAAGGGTCTGGCCCTGAAGGCTCCATGTGCCGGGGTCCCAGGGCGCAGTTTCACTCTTGCTTTGCCCTACTCTGTGATGGCAACAAGTGAGAGGAGGGTGCAAGCACCGGCAGGTTGTAGTTAGTAAGTCACTTATTAATGCCATTCAGTCCAGGATTTAGTATTGTTTCAAGTTAGGCTTTAGGACATTGTCTTTTAGGATTGTGCTTGGAAGTTCCTTCACTTCCTTCACAAGCACCAGCCTCAGCTGTGTTGTGGTACTTCGTGTTGCTTCTGGTTTCTTCTGCATCCCACTGCTGCTGTGCACCTTAGTGATACTCTCCTTTTCCCTCGTTGTGGACTCCCCATGACATTTGCTGTCATTGTTTTTCTAAAGAAATCACACAAAGCAATTCAGTGCCACCCTTAATCTCTGCTCCCAAGTGTTCAATAAGACAGTGTGCTAAATAGTGTTCACACAGGTCAAGCCTTTGACTTCTGCTGTCACAGTCACCATTGCTTTTGTCACCTTTGGCTACAGCATATTTGGGAGGAAGAGGTGCTGGGATATGAGGGAGATTGAAACTTGCTTCTGTGCACAGAGCTCTTAGTCCCTCTTGGAGTTCTCAGTCTTTCTAGTTGATAAAAATGACAATATTCCAGACAAGAGAAAATTAAGCCTGTTGGGAAGGTACTATAAACATACAGATCACTGGAATTAGCTCCAGGAATTCCCTTAGCAGGACTCAAGAGTCTGATCTGTGTTAAAAAGTGGACATGTCCAAGGAAGCTTATCACCTTCTTGCCCCTTATGATGTTCTGTAGTTCTCTCCATTTTCTGCACAATCAGCAACTGGAAATATTTAAGAGAAAACATGTATTTCAGCATAGAGCTACAACAACTTGTGTGTGAAACCTTTGGTGTTTACAGAGGTACAAAGATATTGGAACTTGTCAGGGAAGTTGTCAGTATCTCAGGAATGGATTTGGCAGTTCATCAGGAGGCTAAGAAGCAAAATGCTATCTGTGCTGTTTGAAGAGCAAGTTTTCAAGCTTCGACAAATACTTGTATCTTTGTTCAAGCTGATAGAGGGTGTGTTTAAAGCTGTTTGGCACAACCTGCAGTGGGAAGAAGCCCAGCTGACACTGTGCTATGTTGTGCAATCTGACATACTGCAAACAATAATAAGGGCATCATAGACTGGTTGAGGGACCTAAAAGCTCATCTTGTTCCACCCCCTGCCATGAGCAGGGGCACCTTCCACTAGAACAGGTTGTTTCAAACTCTTATCTAACCTGGCATTGAACACTTCGAGGAATGGAGCAGCCACAGCTGCTCTGGGCCATCTGTGCCAGGGCCTCAGCACCCTCACAGCCAAGAATGCCTTCCCGAAATCCCATCTAACCCTGCCCTCTGGCAGTGGGAAGCCATTCCCCCTTGTCCTGTAACTCCACGCTCTTGTCCCCAGTCCTTCTCCAGCTCTCTTGGAGCCCCTTTAGGCCCTGCAAGGGGCTATGAAGTCTCCCTGGAGCCTTTTTTTCTCCAGGCTAAACACCTTCAGCTGTCCCAGCCTGGATCCAGAGCTGAGGGGCTCCAACCCCCAGAGCGTCTCTGTGACCTCCTCTGGACTTGCTCTGACAGCTTCACGTCCTCCTGATGTTGGGTTCCCCCCAGGGTGGGACGCAGCTCTGCAGGTGGGGGTCTAATATGACTGGGGCAGAGGGGCAGAATCCCCCCTCCCCTCCTTCAGATGGTGGGGGGGTCAGCTCAGGGCACGGGGGGTTGTGTTCTGGGCTGCAGATGCAAGTTTCTGTTGAGCTTCTCATACACCAACATCTCCAGAGCTGCTCTCAATCCATTCTGTGTCTGTCCTCTGTTGTGGCTTTCAGGATTTTGGCATATGAAGCGTGGGTGATGTTTTTTTCTTCACTAGGACTACTCTAGCAGTTCTGAATCTAAATGAGCTATAATATATGCCTGCTGTTTCAAATTAATCAAAGCCTAATTTTTCTCACATGATCAAGTCCCTGATGTGCTTTTCTCTATTAGTTCTGTGATACCATTTGACTGGCACTGAGGACTGAAAAAGGGTTTTTTCCTAATTCTCAAATTGCAGATGGTGCTTCCAATATGTGTGCGCAGGTTGGTTTTATTTTCACTTTTTGTTTTTAATAAAGCCAGGAGAGCAGAACTTGGTTTTCCTGATGGAAGTACTCAGGCAACTAACTTCATTTTTCTTCTGAAGTTATATATGTTTGTGGCTAACCTGGTGGGTGATGAAAAGCATTGTGAAATTAGGGAGTTAGGAAATATTTTTTTTACGTGTCTGCCTCTTAACATTTCTTTAGAGCAAGTTAGGCTAGCCCTGTGTGTAGGGGCAGCAGGAAGCACAATGCTGGCGGTCGCTGCCTCCAGTCCCATAGTAGTAAGTGTGTTTATATATCCTGGTAACCAGAGAGATGATGAATAAAAGTAGTTTGGGTATCCGTTAATTATTTCAGCAAGTTCCATTCACAGTAGATTTTTTGGGTGAGCTCAACTGACTGCCTGCATTCTGCATCAGCACCTCTACAGTGCCACAGTATGCTCAGCTTTGCTGAAATAAGATCATTCTTCATCATCCATAATCAGTTTGGTATATGTGTTCTGTTTTATTTACTTAAGAAATGAGTACCGCTTAAGCTCGAAATGAATGTTTAGGTGATGTTATATACAATACTAGATGAATCTCTAAAATACAAATTTTGCATATTTGCTCTGTATTCTGCACCGCTTGGGCCTCCCAGTTACAGTGCAAAGGCTGCTTAAAGGATGGGTTCTTTGGTTTTGGCTTTTTTAGAGCAAGGGGATTGCATCTGGTTGTCCAGGATAGCAGGAATCTTAACTGTGTGATTGAATGAGCTCTAAACACAGAAAATCAGCCAATGTATTTAATTTTGTATTTTGTGATTTGTGTCTATTTGAAAAAGAAAAGCATCAGTAACAGAGTGTAGATATAAATAATGTCAGAATCACTTTAAATATCAACTACACCCAACTTCTTGAAAGAGGACTTACTGTAATAAAAACTTTATTGTAGTCCAAATCTGAGTAATAATAGGAAAATACTTTCCTCTGCTTTCTGAATTAAAATCTTAATTTTTAACTCAGTAATTAGACAGTAGGCTTTTGGGGGGGGATAGCTGGATGTTAACACGTCCTCATCACCCAGGTCCCATGGCTGTCAGTGTTTAAGAGAAATTTGGATGGTGTCCTAAATAATTTTAACTTTCAGTCAATCCTGATGTGGTCAGGCAGGTGGACTAGAAGGTTGTTGTAGGTTCCCTACCTGGATAAAGTACTCTATTATATTCTTCCTGAAAGCCTTAGAAAAATCGAGTTTCAGTTTTCTTTCCGTATTAATCTTGCTTCCAAGATCTATGTCAGTGCCCACTAGCTGTGCCTGACACACAGGTTGGTCTGGCTCAGGACCCACGGCCTGGTTTTGCTCATCAGTAGAGTATCTGCACACCTTGAGGGATGTGTTCTCTTCCACGTCCGTTGTGTCCTTCCCCCGTCTGTTGCACACCGGTTCTCTGGCAGCAGCGTGGCTCAGTACTTCCAGCTCTGCTTAAACGCATTGCTTCAAGATTAGACTGCTCAGCCCTGGCTGGGTGCCTGCATGTTTGAAAAATGCAGGAAAGTCTGCTGCTGGGATTTGGGATCGTGTCTCCCTCTACCTGTCTGTGCCAGGCTCCTGTGGATGCCCAGAGGCTGGGGCTGAGCTGGGTTCAGGGGAATCTGGGCAGCTGGAGTCTCGAGCATTCGGGCCCCTGAAGTGGGAAGCCTGCTGAAGAGCGTCTCATACCTGGTTGTTTTTGTGTTTTATCTAGTGTTCAGGGCTGCCTTAATTACCACATGTACTGAGGAAGTAGAGCTGCAGAATAGTTCTGCAATTGGCTGCAGTTTTTCTCTTCTCCAGGTTCTCTTGATTCTTTTTGTTTTGTTTCCAAACCCACGCTGCTCTATCTGTATAATTTGCATATTGGTGTAATTGAAAGAATACATTAACAACTGCCTGACTTGCCGTGACACCCATGATTTTAATAATTCATTGTTAGAACGGAATCTTTGTGCTGAACCTGAGTGAAAGTTAACAACTATAACTATAGTGTAGTCAATTGTCAGTCCGTGCTGTCTCTTAGTAGGGTTTTTGGTCTTACAGATCAAAAATAGAGCTCAAGGAGTGTTTGGACAAAGCTGTCAGGTACGTGGTAAAATTTTGGGGTTGACCTGCTCTGGGCCAGGAGTTGGACTTAGTGATTTTTGTAGGATCAAGTTTGGCCCTCAGTGTATTTGGAGTCAAGCACAGGCTCAAAGCTATTGCAGGAACAGAGGAGCGTGTGGGTGCTGTGGCTTGTCCAAACCTGGTTGTCAGTGGAAATATTTTGAACTCATTCACATTTTAGTATTAATGTTTTTTGATTCAAACAGAAATAGAACTGTTTAGACTTTTATTGTACGTGATCATTAGAACAAGTACTTTTCTTAAGTGAAGGAGCAATTGTATAAAATACATAAATACAGTTTCAAACTTGAGATTACATAAAGTATACATGTTTTGGGTTTTGTTGAAGGCTTTTTATTATCATTCTAAGAGCTAAATAACTTTTTTCTCTGTTCTCTAGGGATTTAAGTCATAATCATCTATTATCATCCAATTGGAGTATTGATTTGTCTGTCCATACTCTCCAAGAAGTGTAAGTTGTTTTTTATGAGGATAGAGTCTAAAGATATCCTACCTAATTCTAATAACGTTTTACTGCATGTCAAGATACCTGGTCTGACTTGCAGAAGTATTCAGTGTGAGTTAATTAAAAATGGATGCTCCATAGCAGCACATTTTATGTAGAAAACTGTTCTGTTGTGAGCAGAAGTCTTTCCCATGAAACATCAGAAGACCAATATTTTAAAAGATAAATGAGGAGTAGTTTTTTTAGCTATAGCTGAGTTTAAATGACGGAAAAGTAATAGTATCCATGAAAATGGGAAAAGCTAGCATGTTTCACTGTTCAAATTGTTCGTATTTAAGCTCTTGGGGAATCTTTTTTGTCAACTACTAAGTATTAATAATACAGTAAAATTATTAAATGCATTGGTATGAATTATTTCTACTGTGTACCAGAAGGATTTTTCTCCTCTTTGAAGTGTCAGTAATTTTTTTTGCTCTCTATTTAAGCAAAATGAATTACAATGAGCTAAGTGAAATTCCGTATTTTGGAGAAACAACTTCCAATATAACTCTTCTCTCATTGTAAGTAACAGCTCATCTGCTTTTTTCTTGTTTAACAAGTGGGAGAACCATGTTAGAGTTCTGCTATCAAATAGTAGGAAAACATTGTCTTTTTGCTTGAAATACTGCTCATATAAAGAGCATCAGGGAATATGTAATCACTCTTTAAAGAAATACAAGTCAGTCAAGTCACCCTAATTACCAACAAAATGCAGTCAACCAAGGCAGGCAGCTTTGAAGGGGTGGGATTCAGTCCAGGAATGACACTTCCCACAAGGACCAGCTCAGCTATAGGCCTCAGAATTTGAATCTGTTCATATGTCATGGTGGCAAATGGCTCATGGGTTTGGAGTACTGCTTTAGGAATTAATGTTTTTGGAAGCATGTGATGCATGTCCCATTCATAAAGTTCACTACTGCTGTTGTATACAGAATCCTATTGCTGTCTCAGCTGTGCAACTGGAAGGTGAGATGTTGTGATAATCGTATTTATTGATGATCTTTTTCAGGGTGCACAATGCCATTCCAGAAATAAATGCTGAGCAACTCCAGGTCTACCTTTCATTGGAAAATCTAGATCTTAGTTCTAATCTTATCTCAGAAATTAAAGCCTCTTCCTTTCCACGAATGCAACTGAAGTACCTGTAAGTATGAGTGATCTTCTGTCTCTGGGATTCCTGGCTGTACTATGATAATGTTGGAGACCTCATTTACTCTTAAATCAGTGTCTTAAAGTCAGCATTGTTACAGTGCTTTGAACTGATAGGAGTGCTTAATGGAGCTACAGATGTCCTTGAAATAAAATAGTTTTCTAACTAATCTGTATTGTATTTTCCCAAATAACATGGAAAACAACAATTGCTGTTGTCAGAATGCAGGTACATAAGCTATCAGAGACAGGGTATAATTTCTGCCCTGTTTGAGTTGATCGCTGTGGACATTGTGTTAACCATTTCTAACTGAAACGTGGACATGCAGTAAAAATCAACTCCTCAGACTGATACCTTTGGGAAAAAGGATTTAGCTTGGTATCCCAGAATTCAGATTTCTCATGTGACTTCAGAAGAGTCTTGGGCTCTGTTAATCAGTGGTTGCTCTGAAGTGCTTGTGCTATTGTGTTCATCAAATTCTCTATGTTCTGAAAGGCCTCTTTCCTTCTTGTTTCCTTCCTTAGGAATCTGAGTAACAACAGAATAACTACTCTAGAAGCAGGTTGCCTTGATAACTTATCTAGCTCACTAATGGTGATAAAACTGAACAGAAATAGGATTAGTATGATTCCACCAAAGATCTTCAGATTGCCTCATGTGCAGTTTCTGTAAGTAACAGTCTTGAAAACATCAAAACAACATTTACAGCTGAGCTGTTAATCTCAGCATGTTCTTGACTTTCACACAGTGGTGCTTTTTGCAAGGTGTCTGAATATTTGAATGTCATCTCTATAAAAGGGAACTGAAAAGGAACCGGATTAAAATAGTGGAAAGTCTTACATTCCAAGGATTGGAATCCTTAAAATCCTTGAAAATGCAGCGCAATGGGATAAGCAGACTAATGGATGGAGCATTCTTTGGCCTGGGTAATATAGAGGAATTGTGAGTATGCCTGGTTGTGGAATTTTTTTAGCAAAAAGAAAATGGCTCTGGAAAGTTGTGTCATGTATGCATCAAAGCTGTGCTGAGATATTGATGAAATCATAGGAAAAGCGTATTTTCTCATTATTTTTATGTCATGTCTGGTTACTTTAGAAGTAGAGAGATACAATTCCCTATTCCCAGAAGTGTTCAAGGCCAGGTGGAATAAGGCTGAATGGGTTGAATAGAGCAACCTGGTATAGTGGAAGGTGTCCCTGCCCATGGCAGGGAGTTGGAATTGGATGATCTTTGAGGTCTCTTCCAACACAAACCAGTCTTCTGATTCCTTATCTTGGTCCTCTTTCCAGCTACTTCCCACATGGTGATGTTTGCCTCTGTAGTTGCTTTTTACTGCTTTTCATTTGCAGTCCCCATAACATGGAATTGTTCTTTCCTCTTTGACATTGACAGTGTGAGCACAAGGATTATGATGCGATGATTATGATGTTAGCAAAAGACTTCTTTGTTAAAAAGTTATTTTTGAGAATAGAGATTATAGTTTTGTTTCTGTCACTGGATCTCTGAAGCTGGTTACTCAGTTGTTTGAGTTACTCAGTTCTTCATATACCTTACTTCATTTTTTGAATTTCAATAGATTTGAAAGAATCATACATTTCGTGTTGTCTAAGGCTTAAAGTTAGTAAATAATTTTGAGATCCACAAGGTGAAATTTTGTAAGTAGATGTTTCATTGATTATCTATTTGACAAATGTATTTTCTGTCTAATTCATTAGAGAACTGGAACACAATAACTTAACAGAAGTAAACAAGGGCTGGCTGTATGGGCTGCGGACATTGCAACAACTCTATGTTAGCCAGAATGCCATCACCAGGATCAGCCCAGATGCATGGGAATTCTGCCAAAGACTTGCTGAGCTGTAAGTCCTGGGCTGCTATTCATTGGGTATTTTTGGAATGTTGCAATGATTGATTGGCAAGAATGAATTACCAAAGGAAGTACTCCATTTCCTTGTTAGACTCATGGTAATGATGTATTTTAATTGTAAGTATTCTGTTAGAGAAATTAGAACACAATAGTTCATCAAGTCAGATAGTATCTTAATAATTAATCCCCCTGCTTGCCTTTAAAGTGTGTGTTGAATGTTTCCAGAGACTTGTCATACAATCAGCTCACTCGCCTCAAGGAGTCTGCCTTTGTGGGACTTGGCTTATTGGAGAAGCTAAATCTGGGTGACAACCGCATTAATCACATTGCTGATGGTGTCTTTAGAGGTCTGAGAAATCTCCAAACCTTGTAAGTACAGAAAACTTCAAACACAAATTTCAGTTTAATGCAATTTTAGTTTAAGTGGAGCTTTTGGAAGTAGAGACAATGGATATTGCACCATGGAAGCCTGAGATCATTGTTGGTGCTGTCCTGCCTACAGGAGTGGTAGGACTGATAATCTTTTGGCTTGCTTAAGATGACAGAATTCCAGCCCAGCTAAAAGAAGCTAACCACTCAGTTTTAGAGGTGGTAAGAAACAGAGACTTAGTGACACTGAGTGCTCAGATGTGTGCCCTGCCAGTTCTGAGAGGTGTGGGTACTTTGCGTATCCAGTTGTGGAGCAAATAGCCCGGAGCTCTTTATTCTAGAGGATTTCCTTAGGTTTGGAACCTCAGAAACCAAGGACTGAACCCTTTTGTGTTGTGGTTTAGCCCATCCTGCTCATGTGCTGACTCATAAATGTAACAGGGGATGTAGAGTTGCTTCTTGCTATTGAAGGCACAGCTTTGCACTTGCCAGGACCTTTTGTGGCAGATCTTGGATATTTCTGAAAAAATCCAGTCCTGTGCCAAGTAGATCTGAACAGTTGTAATTATCTTAAACAACAGTACTTGAGAAAGGAGTGAAAATTTATAACCCCTCTATCACTTCATTAAATAAATGCTTAAATAAGCAAACTCACCAGAGAGATTTATGTAAGCAGTCATAGTCTGTTAACCTTAATGCAACCTTTTAATAAAATAATTAAACCTAATTTCTTAGATTTAGAGTAGCATGAAAAAACAAGAGCAGATTAATTAGTAGGTGTTCCTGGGCTCTCAGGGGTGTCAACGGCGAGGGCCTGGCCCTTTGCTTTGGGACTGGAATGTGCAGGATGGAGAGCAGTGGTGATTAACAAGGCTTCAAGCATTAGTGCCCAGCCAGGCATGAGGAGCCAACTCCTCTCTCACACAATGAGGGGCTTTTCTTTTGGGCTTCTCACTGGTTTTGTTGAGTGGTCTGAGTAGTGGAGTGTAAAAAAACTTTAAAAAACAAGAGATACGATGTGGTTTTAGTTCCATTGTTGGTTGTGTGCTGGTTGTTTGGTGCTATGGCTGGTGTACATATTTCTGTATGTTCAGCTCCTGCCACTCTGCGGTGTAGAAGAATAAACTGTAAAACTGTTCATTAACTGCAAGTTAGGATTACAGATGTATCTAAGAATAGCACTGAAGTTTTGAGGTTTTACGTATTATCACATTATTTATTTCATAATATTGTGAGCAGTTTGGCATTTGTATTCTCCAGCACTCACAGTCTAACATTCTGAAGCAGATTTTGAGATACTTCTAGAAATGTGTTTTAAATCACAAGAATTAGCAACTTGGAAATAAAATTGGCATATTATTCAAATAGATGTTATTAGCTCAGCTCCATGTTGGGTACCTTAGCCTGAATAATTTTCAAAGAGGAAAAGATTTAATGTGAGCAAGTTTCAAGGCCATATTTGTTCAGACCTTGTGATGCATGAAATATGAAATTCTTTTCTTTTTGTCCTAAACTTGGAAGTGTGTAAATACAAATTGTGGAAATGACTGCTGTGTGTGGTTTTAAAAAGACTTCTATATTTCAAAGTAAGGAAAGTAAGAAAATTGTGTGTTACCACTGGTGTTATCCTAGTTGATCCTGGTCTCTTCCACGATGGTGTTCTACGCAGTTTACAGTCTCACATAATGGGAAAGTAGATACTTCATTTTCCCCTCATTAGCACAGAGAAAGAGGTGTTTATATGAGTGATATATACAGTTACCTGTGTATGCAGTGTATGAGTTGACTCGTTTGGATGCTTCATCTAGCTGTTGCATAGAATGTCTGATAAAACACAGGGAAGACTTCTTTGTTAGTGTGATTTCCTTTCAATACACTCCTCTCTGTGCATGGTGGTATCAAAACAGATGCTCTTGTCTCAGTCTATGCCGTTCAGGCTAAAAATGCAAGTGAATTTATTTCATCTTCTCTCTGAAGAGCATTTAATCCTCTCCAAACTGTACTGCTTTATCGCTTTTGCTGTTTAGACCTCTCTTCTCCATGAGGGGCTGCTGTGCTGAGGTCAGTCAGAAATCCCATTAGCTGATAACGAGATTTGTGAGCAGAATATCAACTTCATTTTGAAAATCCACCACGGTGTGCCTGGCAGGCCTACACGGTAACCTGGGCGTTATCCGTTAATATGCTAATGCTGGTATAAGCCTGTTACTTGTGAAGATTAATGCTGCTGGTGTATTGGTTAATTCCCTTACATGAACCAACTTGCTTCAGGAGCCTCTCCCAGCTCCTGGCGAATAGCTCATCACATGAAAAGTGCTTGTCAGACCTTGGCTTTCCTTAAATGCCACATCAAGAGGTTGTGCTGCAAAATTTGTTTGTGGTGCTGACTGCAGCACTTACCATGAAGTGGTAAGTTTTGCCCCTCTGAAATGAGAAATTCATCTCCTGACAATCTTAAAAGATTTGTAAAAGATTTGAGACCTTCCAGGTGATGTTGTGCCAGAGCCCCATACCTGACGTGTCTTCCCAGCTCACCACTAGCCCTGGTCACAAAGATGTTCCAAGGCTTGCTTCTAAGAAATGTCTTCTCTTGCAGGGACTTGCGGAACAATGAGATCTCCTGGGCCATCGAAGATGCAAATGAAGCTTTTGTGGGACTCAGCAGGCTGGATAAACTGTATGTATTACAAATTAAGGGAGCAACAGCACTTCCCAGGCAGGGAGGGAGAGTGCAGAATACTAAGTAGTTGTAAATCAATGACACAGCCGCTCTCACAGTGTGCCACAACCTCTTGATGTAGTCCTAGGTTCCTTGTTCAGGAGCATCAGATCCATGTAGCACTGCATTTCCTTACAGCACCAATTTGGTGAGATTAAGCATAAGAATATATGCATTTATTATTGAATACTTCCCTCTGTGTGATTATTGTCATTTTTTGAGCTTCTTTGGTTTGGATAAAAGTTACTCTTTATCAAAAAAACAACCCCAAAACACAAAGTATTTTTGAGCAAATTTGAAACACCACTACATTAACAAACTTCTTGATACTTAGACTGTGCACTTTTCATCCAGTACCACGTGCTTTGTAGGAAGCTCAATCCTGTGTAGCTACAAATGTTGCTTATAACAACTAGCTTGGTATGAGGGTGCAGTCCCGGAAGTTGCATGGTGGTAGCAGGTTGGTACTAGGAAATTACTGCTTCATGCCCAAGTTCTATTTATTGCTGTTTCAACCTCCAGACTTAAATATGTTCTGACACATTTCTAGCCCAAATCTCTTAAGTTGAAAATAGAAATGAAGCCCTGTTCTTGGGAAAATTAGTTGAGCCTTTAAGCTAAAAAGAATAGTATTTAGTCCTGTATCTCAGCTAGAATTAGGAAAAAAATGTAGTTAAGCATCATAGGGAACTTCTTTTGGGTCCTGTTTGTGAACTCATATTGACATTCAGACTGGTTTCTGGGCCTTTATTTTCAGAATCTTGCAAGGAAACCAAATTAAGTCAATTACCAAAAAAGCATTCTCTGGTCTTGAAGGACTTGAACATCTGTAAGTATTTTAATTTGTAGAACTCCTAATTTGTCATCTTCAGTCTTGTGTTCTCTGTGAGATTTTCAAGAATTTAACTGAAGGCAGCATATGAAATCACACTGAGTCATTATTGTGCTCTTTGCTTAACTTACAGAGATTTAAGCAACAATGCAATAATGTCCATCCAAGAAAATGCCTTTGCCCAGGCTCACCTGAAGGAGCTGTAAGTTCATGACAATTATTTAGAGATTCTTTACAAGCCCTACCTTGGAAAGAATTCTTCAGCCATTGTAGGCTTGTTTGAAGTTGTCTGAAATGTCTGCTTTCATCATGAAATATTTGCAGCAATGCTGGTAAATTATCAACTCAAAGTTGGTAACAGTATATTTAGATTTAAGGTTTGATAAGATCTTCACCTACATTTCCGTAGTTGCAATTAGTAGGAGTTAACTTTTTCTTGCAGTACTAAACCATTAAGCTTTTCCTGTCCTATGATTTTGCAGCAAGCTCAGCACTGCATGTAGGCAGTGAACAAAACAAATAATTCATCAGGAATCTCTCAGGGGGAAATAGCAAACCTGTGTTTTTTCTTCCTATATTTCGGGGCTAGGGAAAGGCTTTAAAATTCACAGCTAGATAAGATTTTGTAAGTGCTCAGCAGATGTTTAAGCTGGTAGGGTCTCTTGTGGTCTTCAGACATCTGAAGTAATATAATGTGAAGTGACCTTCACACTCGAGAATAATCCTACTGTAATGCAGTCTTTTTTTTGTGAGATAAAGTCTCTTGACTGTTGTAATCTGGTCTAAAACTGTTATTCCATTAGTTAACCTTGGCCAGATGGACTTAGTCTGCAGGATCTGCCACCGTGAGGAGACAATTTCAGGTGTTAAAGACTTTTGTTGCCTTCTCTGATGTATTTTAAAAGTGATTAGTCATTGATATGTACAGGCAAAGAGCAGGATGGAATCTTGGCTTGTTTGGTGCCTCTTTTCTGCCATGGCTGGCTTCATCTTAGGGAAAATCACTTCTTGTTAAATGCTGGACTGTCTCAAGTCAGTCATACTCATACTTGGAGTATGGCAAACAAAACTCAGCCCTCCAGTGTCTTGAAGTCAGTTCAGAGGTGGCATCTGGCGCTCCAAGGAATGAATAATACTTAGGAAACTGTAAAAGCAGGTGGTGGGAAAGAAGACACCCATCATTATTTCCTGTTGGTAGGTTTTCTGCGGAGCAGAGAAAACGAGCTGCAGTTGATACCTGTATGAAACAAATCGCTTTTGGCCTTAAATATTTATCAGCTGGCATTAAAATGAGAGTTGAGGCTTCTGCTCATTTCATAATGGCAGTTGTGTTAAGTTTGAAATATGGACCAGCTCTGCAATGTTATGTTCTTTTCAATTGCTTTAAAAAGGGATGAGATAATTGTAAAGACAGGCTTAGTGGTTTGGGGATTGTTTTTTTAGAAGTTGAAACTGAGTTTATATTCTCCAGGATTAAAACGAAATGAAAGGTTTTAATGCTGACATAGAGGGATTGATTCTAGCATAAACACCTAAGCTTTTATAATAAATACCCATACATATAAAATAATAATGTAAATTTGATGTTTCTGTATGTGTATACTTTAAGTTGCATTGCTGTGTGAAATCACACGTATGCATGTAAAATAAACTTCCCTTACCGTTTTGTTTTGCCCTGTTTCTGCAGAGTGTTGAACACAAGCAGTTTGCTTTGTGATTGCCAGTTGAAATGGCTGCCCCAGTGGCTTAGTGAGAGCCGTTTGCTGCAGGCTGTCAGTGTCAGCTGTGCTCACCCTGAGTGGTTGGCAGGACAAAGCCTTCTCAGTGTGGACCCTGATGACTTTGTTTGTGGTTTGTATTTTTAGTGACTTTTGATACAGAAGCATGGTAACACAAGTCTTGTAGCTGAAATCAAGCTGTAGTGCCGGGGAGGTACTTGGTCCTGGCTGTGGTGCCCATGTGGGCCCATGTACATCACAGAGTCTGCTGTGAGTTTGGGGTTTAATTCTGCATCTCTTCACTCTGTTTTGTGGTGTTTGAGCACTGAAGATAACCTAAGGGAGTAGGGCTGTTGGGCATTGTTTTTTGTTTAGTTTACTAGTAAAAATGGATTATGCTTCCATGCTCCCTGCTTATGGCTATGTCTAGCTTTGTAAGGTCTCTTTGACACTTTTTTCCTGGTTCTTGCCCATACCAGCAGAATCTTAAAATAGGTTGGCTTGGAAGGGCCTTAAAGATCATCCAGTTCCACCCCCTCCCATAGACAGGGACACATTCCAGGAGAATAGGGCAATCTGGCCGTGAGCTCTTCCAGGAATGGGGCAGTCACAGGTTCTCTGGGCAAAAATTAGAGTACTTCAGGCTCTGGCACATTTTCTGGTACTCCATATCTATGATGTTTATGGTGGTCTCAAGCTCTTTGCTTAGTCTGGGTGAAGTCTGTGGCAGGCTTGGAATTAGTCTGATGTTTTCTTTTCCTGGTGAGCAATCTTATAACAGTTATTTTTGCTGTGCAATTCTTTCATTGCTTTGGTGGCAAAGGCTACAGTAATAACCACGTAGGTGCACGCACCCACTTCTCCACTCCAGTACCACCAGGGTGGGTGCCTATGAGAGTGTCTGCTGAAATAATGGATATGGAAAGCAATTTCATCGAGTGGGATGAGATAGCAAACTGCCAGCTTGTTATACTTTGTGCTTGTAGAACTTCAAGGCTCTTCAGGATATTTAAACTATCTGAAAGTAAGTCTCAGTCCTTCATAAAATGACCCGGCTCTTCAACCGAGCAGGATTTTTGAGTTTGATCTAAATATAGCAAGTTTCAGACAGTTGCACAAAAGGCAGGACTGCTCAGCACTGCACTTGATTGTATTCAATGCTGATTCTTCTGCTTCCTTCACAGCTTGATTTCCAGCTCAAAGCAGCTGAATTTGTCAAGCTTGACATCTGTTCCCAAAGTTTTGGTTGTGCTTGCATTGTCTTTTGAGTGAGTTTTCTTGCAATATTAATTCAAGTTTAAGAGGAAAGTGGCTAATCTTGGTGCTTTTCTTCTCAGATAACTTCCCTAAACCGCAGATCAGAGTCCACCCAGAAACCACAGTGGCCCTGCGAGGCACAAATGTGACCCTGATGTGCACTGCTGTGAGCAGCAGTGATTCACCCATGGCCACGGCCTGGCGCAAAGACAGCGAGCTCCTCTATGATGCAGAGGTTGAGAATTTTGCCAGGTACCAGCAGCAAAGTGGGGAGGTGCTGGAATACACCACTATCCTGCACCTCTTCAATGTGAATTTCACTGATGAAGGGAAATACCAGTGCATTGTCACCAATCACTTTGGCTCCAATTATTCCAACAAAGCCAAGCTGACTGTCAATGGTAAGTAATCATGGTGAAAAAGGAGAAGCACTCTGAACCTAAAACTTAAGTAGCTGAAAGTCTGTTTTTCACTAAAGCTGGCCCAAAATAGTCTTGCAAACATCAATGGGATTTAGAAGTATCACACATCATTTTATAAAGCTGGAAATAAGTGATGGGTTTTTTGGCTGATGAAAAGCCTCTATTCACTTTTTGAAAGCGGCAATTATCTCCTGTGCTTTATTAGAACACAGTTAGTTGTTCGTCTAGTTAATTGCAGGTGGAATTCTTTAAATTAAAAGCTCCCTCCACTGTCTTATCTGAACTCAGCACCTTTCCCACATGTTTGTAAAACTGGGAAAGACTCATCTGTGAGTGGTAATAACCCTGTGGTAAAAACCCTGAAAAGTCAAGAGTGAAGTATTTTTTTTCTTATTAGCCATCATGATTATTTTTATTTTGATGGAAGGGCAGGTAAGAAGACAGTGTTCACATCAGTCAGCAGACCACTGATCCTCACAGTACCTCAGAACAGGGATGATGAGATGGAAGCTTACCTTCCTTTTTACCAGGGAAGGAAAATGTGGCAAAGATTTTTCCCTGGATTCTTCCCATGAGAAATCATCACCGTCACATAATCTTAGAGGAACTTAATGGCTTTAAACCGAAATATAGAGTAGGTTTGCATTGGATATTGGGAAGAAATTTCTCCCTCTGAGGGTGGCAAGGCTGTGGGACAGGTTCCCTAGAGCAGTTGTGACTGCCCCATCCCTGTAAGTGTTCAAGGCCAGGCTGGATGGGGCTTGGAGCAACCTGGGAGAGTGCAAGGTGTCCTTGCCCTTGGGCATGTATTGTCTTAAGGATCCCTTTCAACCCAAAGCATTTCATGATTCTATGAACACTGTAGATACTGTATTTAAATTTTGGGATAAAGGCTCTTGGAAATAACTACTGAAAATTTGTGCAGTTCTTCAGAAGAATCTGTTCCCCTCTTACGGACTGTTTCGGATATGTTTTCAAATTTTCTCTCTGCTGTGGAGCTTTTTCTGCATTTTACCTGATACTGAAAATGCTGCATTGATGTCCCCTTTGATCCAGAGCTCCCTTCTTTCCTGAAAACTCCCATGGATCTCACTATCCGCACTGGGGCAATGGCCCGGCTGGAGTGTGCTGCCGAGGGCCACCCCCCACCACAGATCTCCTGGCAGAAAGATGGTGGCACAGACTTCCCTGCTGCAAGAGAGAGGAGGATGCACGTCATGCCTGAGGACGATGTGTTCTTCATTGCAAATGTGAAGATGGAAGACATGGGGATCTACAGCTGCATGGCCCAGAACATCGCAGGGGGACTCTCAGCCAATGCTACCCTGACTGTGCTGGGTAAGTGTGACTGGCCTGTGCTGGCAGATGAATCCCTGCACATCTGCAGTGAAATTGTAGCTTAGCTACCAGTAGCAAGTTCAAATGGTGGAGAATGAAGTTAAACTACTAAGAGCAATACAAACATTGGTGTCATGTTTACACAGTGAAGCTCTAGAAGCTGAGTTGCGGAGCTGCCTGGTGGAGTTGGAGTTAGTGTGATCTTTGCAGGGAGCTGAGGGGTATATCTTAGTCCAGCAGTGTAGATTAGACAAGTAATTTGTGCTGCCTTAGAGCAAATTTAGTCACAGGTAACAACAAACTTGCCAGGAAGAATACCAGAGAGATCTTGGGATGCATGAGAGAGCATTGCCAGCAGGTCAGAGAGGTGATCCTGCCCCTCTGCTCAGCCCTAGTGAGGCACATCTGGAGTGCTGTGTCCAGTTCTGGGCTCCTCAGGACAAGAGGAATGCAGAGTTCCTGGAGCAAGTCCAGGAGAGGTTACTGTCCTTTGATGAAAGGACTGCAGTATCACTCTCACAAGGAAATGATGATTGGTTGGACTTGATAATCTTAAGAGGCCTTTTCTAATCTAAATGATTTCATGATGCTGTGAAAGGCTGAGGGAACTGGGCTTGTCCAACCTTGAGAAAAGCCAGCTGAGAGGGGCCCTCATCATGTGTGTCCTTGTCTGCAGGGAGGGGTCAGAGGGTGGACCTGGCTGTGCTTGGTGATGCTCGGCAAAGGGACAAGAGGCCACGGGCAGAAACTGATGCACAGCAAGTTCTGCATGAATGTGAGGAAGAGCTTTACTGTGCGGGCACAGGCTGCCCAGAGAGGAGGGTGTGGAGTCTCCCTCACTGGAGATGTTCCAGAACGGTCTGGATGCAATCCTGTCCCGTGTACTCTGGGATGACCCTGCTTGAGCAGGGAGGTAGGACTAGATGACCCACTATGACCCATCCTGTGAACTGTGCTGAGTAATAATGGAAAGTCAGTTCCTTCCAGAGTGCAGCATTTTTTTAAGATGCTGACTTTTAACATTATGGCCAAATTTAAAATGGACTGCCACAAGTTTCCCAAAGCAACTGCGGCTGCCCCATTCCTGAAAGTGCTTGAAACGCTTGGATGGGGCTTGGAGCAGCCTGATCTAATGGAAGGTGTCCCTGTCTATGGCAGGAGAGATGAGACAGGATGATCTTTAAGGTCCCTTCCAACCTAAACCATTATAGGATTCCATGATTCTTTGAAGTTCTCTTACAATTCTACTTTTTGTCCCAGAAACTCCTTCCTTCATGAGGCCCCTGGAGGACAGGACAGTGACCCGAGGTGAAACTGCTGTCCTGCAGTGCATAGCTGGTGGCAGTCCTGCCCCTCGCCTCAACTGGACCAAGGACGATGGTCCCTTGACGGTCACCGAGCGGCATTTCTTCGCTGCAGCAAACCAGCTCCTCATCATAGTGGATGCAGGACTGGAGGATGCTGGGAAGTACACGTGCATCATGTCCAACACACTGGGCACTGAGCGTGGCCATATTTACCTAAATGTCCTGGCTTCCCCCAACTGTGATTCTTCGCAGAGTGCCATTGTCCATGAGGAGGATGGCTGGACAACAGTAGGGATCGTGATTATTGTTGTCGTGTGTTGTGTGGTGGGAACGTCCTTGGTGTGGGTTATCGTCATCTATCACATGAGGAGGAAGAATGAAGATTACAGCATCACTAACACAGGTTAAGTGTGGTCCTGTTTTTAATCCAAAACTTGAAATTTCTGGATTTGTTACAAATGGATAAGATTAAAGAACTGAAGATTTCCTTCTTAAAATCCCTCCAAGGATTTGCTCAAATTCCTCCATTTTAGAGGTTCTTATAAATTCCAGAAGTGTGCTAATTCTATTCCTTATACACTATGTTTGTCCTACATTGAGGGAAAACAGTGAAGTTGGAAAGTAAATATTTGAATAAGCTTAGAAGTGTTTTCAGGGACTGGAATAATAGATATAAATTTTATTTCTGGCCCTGTCAGCTTTGAACTGGCCATCTGGATTTGTAATTACTGAAGTAGAAAAAAGATACCTACATGCAAGTTAAAATTCTGGATATTCTTGTTAATGTGGGGAATAGGTCTGATAATACCTTGAAATCCTCACACTGTTTAATGTCAATGTTAATTCTGCCTTGCAGAGGAGATGAACCTACCTGCTGACATTCCCAGCTACCTCTCCTCCCAAGGAACACTGTCTGAGCCTCAGGAAGGCTACAGTAACTTGGAGGCAGGGAGCCATCAGCAGCTGATGCCTCCAGCTGGCAGCTACATGCACAAAGGCACAGATGGTAAGCAAAGCCCTCAGGTGTGTTGCCAGTGCCTCGGCAGGATGCCAATGCACAGTCTCATCCTCACAGCTTAAGTGTCAAGGTAGATCTTTATCCTGTTTCTTTCCTTTGGCATCTCGAAAGCCCAGCAAAAAGAATGGAAATAGATTTTTCTTGGAAGATGACTATCCTGTCCTGTCCTTTGTATAAAATTCCTGCCTGTGCCAGACATCTGGTTGGCTTGCTACAACTAAATTGTTGTAACTTAAGGGCTCTGCACTATTTCCCTACCTTGTTTGGACAATTTTCTAGAGGTTCGTGTCATTGAGCTCACAGAGATGCTTTCTTTGCCAAAATGCTAAGGACTCATCACTCATTATGTAGGCTGGCTTGGAAATTGATCCTCAGTGTAAGGTTTTCACACCTGTCCATGATCCCTTCAGCCCAGTCCCACTGCACTAGAGTCTATATCAGGAAGGAGTTGAGAAGCAGCTTATCTAAGTGACCAGTTTCTCATCAGCTCTGATGTGTGTGGGCATGCAGGAGCAAGTCAGGTCCAAGATGGATGTGGGCAGGTATCCTGGTTTAATCCTGTTTAAGGATTAAATCCTGGTTTAAGGCTGTTTTACCGTGGTGCCCAAGCTGGCTGGACCTGCATGGAACTCTTTGCTCATGAAATAGGGGAACATGTCCATGGTTCCCCTGGTCAGCTTCAGAAGGACACCTCTGTGAAGAATTTGGATGGAGGGAATCTGGGGGGTTTCTCATGTGGCCTTTCAAGCCAAGTACTCTGTTACTCCCTTCACTGTAAAAAGGCCCTTCAATTTGTGCTGCTCTAATAAATGATGATACCAGGACATAAAGCCTATGAAAATCTGGCATCCTCATCCTTTTTGAGAGTATTTTATTTTTCCATTGTGTTCATCAGGTGGTGCAGCACCATTAGTGATCTGCTCAGATTGTTACGACAATGCCAACATCTTCTCCCGGAGCAGAGAGTACTGTCCCTATGCCTTCGTCACCGAGGAGGACTCCCTGGATCATCCACTCCCGAATCTCATGGTGCAGATGCCCAAGGAAATGTACACAGCACACACTCAGAATGAAACCAGTGCTCTGGGTAATCTCTTAGCAGACAGAGATGTGCCTGTTTTCCTTACCAACCATGACAAAAAAAGTGATAAGAAAATCTCTTCCCAGCAGATTTTTGGTGAGTGTCCACTTTTCCTTTTGTTGCTTTGTATTCCCTGATAACTTTGGCCTTCATTATGCTGCTCTTCACTATTGACACAGCTAGTCCTTCAAGTGTCAGTAGTTTGTGGAATTACTCATGTTTATTAACCACTTATTCTCCAAATGCCCGTGTTGCATCAGCAAACAGCTTGCCTCCAGTACCTGAGATTGAAGATGGTGGTGTTAAAAAGATGGAATTTCTTAATTTGCAGTTTTAAGTTTGTGGAATGTGAGCCTTTGCTTATACTTCAAGGACATGTATTAACCAAAAGTTTGATCTTCACATAAGAAATTCAAATAGCCTTTCTCTTTGAGCTGGTCTGAAGTTCAAAGAACTCCCTAAATTGCTTCTTTTTCTGTTCACTTTCTTCCAGATCACCTTTTTAAAAATTCACACTGAAGCTCTGTGTGTTCCTGGTTACTGTAAGAGATTACTGGAAAAGTAGAGCATCTAGTAAAATATACTCTGAAAAACAGAGCAAATCAGCTCAGAATGATTGTAATTGCTGAGTCACAGAGCTCGAATCTATTTAAAATCTGAGTGTGATTGATCTCTGCTCTTTGTGAGCTGTGACAGCACCTGAGGGAAACGGCTGGAGCTGTGTCAGGGGTGGTTTGGATTGGAGGAAAATGTTCTTCCTCCAGTGGGTGGTCAGGCACTGAACAGGCTCCCCAGGGAATGCTCATGGCCCCAAGGCTGCCAGGGCTCAGAGGGTGTTTGGACAATGCTCTCAGGCACAGGGTGGAATTTGTTGGGGTGTCTGTGCAGGGTTGGGAGCTGGACTCGATGATCCTTGAGGGTCCCTTCCACCTCAGGCTATTCCTTGATTGTATGATGTTGCTCCTGTTCATCTTCTAATTTTTCTCCCTCAGAGCCCTTCCAGGTTCCTCTGTGGGGAGGCAGCAAAGACCTGGCTTGCTCTCACCCGCAATTCCTGCACCGTCCATTGGCCCTCGAGGCACCACAGCCACTCCAGAGTGACGGTATCGCCAGCACTGACCAGGACCTGGCATCACCCAGACCCTGCCACAGGCTACGGGAGGAGAATTTTGATTTTAACAGGACACGGAACATTCATGACCACAGTGAAACCACATAAAACACTCACACAGCCTTCAAAGCAAATCCAAATTGACTGACTATTTACTACCTCAGGATTAACCCCAAGGCCAAAGATGTTCATGTATGTGTCTGCAAGTACAAAACAGTCAAGACTCTCTTGGAGGAGATGGCACATGCCCTTTTTTCTGCAATTTCTCCATTGGAAGATGAGAATGTGCACCAGAGAACATGTGGATAATTAGTGCAGTCTACAAAAATAGCATTAAAACATGGATTGTGTGATGCTGGAAGCAGCCTTTGTGGTGGTGTGTGCTTTGGAAAGCTCTCAAGAACGTGTGTAGCTATTTCACAGTGCTTCGTCTGCTTGGAAACAAACCATCAGGGCCTCCTCGTGGAATTCCCCCGGAACTGTAAGCGTAAAACTCTTGGCCAGCTTTTCCTTCCTTAGACTGTTGGCAGGTGTCTGTTGCCAGTCTAAGTTTGGGGCTTGTTTTCTTCTGTGAATAATGGACTCTAGTTGTAAATAAACTTGCATTTATAAATATTTTGTATACACTAAGCATATAAATGTGTTGGCTGTAATGTAAATTATTTTTTATTATGCCAAAATATATGCCATACTGTTAGTCTTGACAGCTGCATATCAAACCATATGGGGGGACTTGGGCGGACTGAAAGCTTGCTTGTGAGGGAATAGAACTGTCTTTGTTTTGAAAAGAAGTGCATTTACTTATAGATATATGGTAGAACTGTGATATTGATGAATTTCATTGTTTCCTAAAACTGTGTGCCTGGCTGATCTGGCTGCAAGCTGATCCATTTCATGATATTAGCAGAATTTCAAGGTTTATCTAAGTTTTCAAGGTTTATCTAAGCTTTCATCTGTAAAAACCCCCTTTGTATTGTGTCTGTTGAGAGGGTCTCCATATGTTTCCTAGTTGACAGTTAAATGAACTTCTAAAAATAATGTGGTGATGAAAAGCATGAGGTAAATTGAGAGAGGACTTGATAAATACTTATTTCTTCTGCACAGCCAAAGGCATATGGAGTTTAAAACACTGGTCCTTTTCTGTTGTAAAATATCAGGCTAAATTGTTGAATTAATAGTTCACTTAAACCTTAGTGTGGTCAAAATGTTTAAATATTTGACAGGTGAGAAATGATACAATGCAGGGAACCCCTCGCTACTGAAAAATCTTGCTCAGACTTGATAGTTCCAGTGAGATGTGCCTGACAAAATGAGGAAGAACAATGACATTATGAACACTTCCTGAAAAGTTTTTTTAGGGGGAAAAATGTCCCTTTTTGTTGAAGGTGTTGAAAGAGTCTTCAGAGATGGGTTTTCAGCAGGTGCATTGTGCTCTGTGGTCATGCCTTTAGAGGGAGATGCTTCCTTCCTGATCACTACTGCCTGCTTTGGAGCTGTAGGATTTGTACCCAGATATAACCATCTGTGCAATATTTTTATAAAGACAAAATCCCCTTTTTGATCCAGCTCAGTTGTAGGCATGTGAGAATTCCCATTGATCCACTCCTGGACTGAAGGGTTTGTCATGCAGAGTCACAGCTGAATTTAGAGACTGTGGTGAAGTATTTGAGTAAATGAGTGGGGAAACACTGGGAATAATGGTACTTTTCCCATGGCTCTTGAGATGGGAATAATAGTCAAATCTTTGCAAGTGAGCAAATATTTTCAAGGGTTCTTCCCATGCTCTTAAAGCCAGCGTGGCTGATTTGGTAGACAGCAGCTTTAGTGGGAAGGGGATCCAATTGTCCTTGACCTTTGGGTAAAATAGAGAGAAACACAGGTATGTAAATTTTTGTATTCTGATAGGTGAAATGTTAAAAAAAAATCAATCTGAAGTTCATTTGTTTCTGTTTTTATTTCCTCCAGACTTTTACTTCCCAGACAGCATTTAAGGCACAGTGCTTATTCTGAATCCAAAATGATCACTGCTGCAGGGACCCAGCACTGTCAGTTTAAATCAAGATGAGAAAGGTCATGCCATGAAACTACAGCAGCAGGAAAGCCTTATCCTTTTGGGCTGCTCTCTCAGGCAGTCACTCAAGCTACTGGGGCAGGGGACTGCTGGCCGCCTGTGATTCCCAGGAGTGGGAAAACTGCATCCCTCCTGCTGCTCTCTCTCCATTTGGCAAATACTTGTTCTTATTTCTTTCATTCCTCTCTCTCTTCATAGGAGCTGAGCTCACACAGATCTCTCACAGTGCAGCTGGCATTGTCCAGACCATGGGACTACTTGGGGTACAGCTCCCATGGGCAAGGGAATTCTGTTTAGGTAGGAGAAATCTGTTTCAGCTGGACCAGGGCTTTAAAATCACTGCTGTCTGACCAGGACTATGCTGGCTGTCAGAGAGTGCAGCTAAAGCTGCTCTGACTTCTGTGAGAGAATGGCCTATAAAAGCTGAATCCTGAATTAAGGCGTTTACATCCTTCCATGGGCATTTAAAGTCCATAAGCTGGTTGTAAATAGCTGATGCTTCTAAGTAGGTGACACTTTGCTGCACTGTGGAAAAACTTCTTTGGTAGACTTGGAGGAGAAAATCATGTGCATCTTCTTTCCCCCTTGCAGAGGGGACAGAGTGGCCTTTCTTTTTTCAGTTAAAAAAAAAGTAATTGCCTCAATCAATGCCAAAGCACTACCAGTACAGAAACTGAGGGGTCAGAAGCAGCAAGAGCAAAGCTGCTTCTGTTCCCTCTTGCTATTTCCTGTTGTCTATTTATATTTTTTTCACATCAGAATGTGTATTTTGTATAGCATATGTAATATATGTTTGTCCATGTAACATATGTTCAAACAATAAAATGCTGTATACATTGAGCATTCGGTGTAACTGTTAGTTTGCAAATCGAATAATGATATTTTGTCCTATGGTATTTAATTTTCATAGCGGGGGGAAAAATAGAGTAAACTTTGCCAACTGGATGTGGTCATGGGACTCTGAGATTTGGACACGGTGACCTCCAGAGGCTATTTCAATCTCAACCATTCTCTGATTCTGTGATTCTCATTTCAGTTTTCCTGCAGGAAGTACCTGCACCCTTTTTGGAAAATGGGGGAGGGGCAGTTCTTCCATGGTGGTGTTGACTCTGGGCCAGGAGCCTTGCAGATCCCTGTGCTCCCCACACTTTTCCCCTGCTTTTCCAATGCTGGCCTCCTGCAATCCTTGGATCCTCTGAAAAGAAGATTTTCTTTTCAGCAAAGAACTATCAGCAGAAGTTGGTGGGAGCATCTCCCACGTGCTGGCTGCAGGAGGTGCTGCTAGCCCAATCCTTCCTGAAAATCAGCATGAGCTTTTTATTCCTTTGAATAACTCTCTCTCTCTCTCTCACTCTGCATTCTTCTGTTCTTCTGCTGGTTCATGTTCTGATAATTAATCACCTTTGTTCTGTCCTGTGTTCTCCACTCTTGTACTTGTTCCCAGATCTCAGCACCATGTAGCTTTTCCCAGGTAAACTTGAGCTCCTGCAGCTGCCTCGTCCCCTGCCCTTGCTGACAGAGATGATTACATCCAGGCAAAGAGACTCCCAAGAGCTGTGTGCGCCTTGTTCCCTCTACCCTAGACACATTAACTTGCATGTTTAGTCTGGAAAGGGACTTTGCACAAGGGCATGTAGTGACAGGACAAGGGGGAAAGGTCTTAAGCTGATGAAGGAAGGCTTAGATTAGATATTAGGAAGAAATTGTTCTCTGTAAGGGTGCTGAGGCCTTGGCCAGATTTTCCAGAGCAGCTGTGGCTGCCCCATCCCTTGAAGTGTCTAAGGCCAGGTTGGGCAGGGCTTGGAGCAACCTGGTCTACTGGAAGGTGTCCCTGCTCATGGGCAGGAGGTGGAATAAGATGAGCTTTTAAGTTCCTTCCAACCTAAAACATTCCATGATTCTATGCTTTATCAGCTCATATTCCTGATAACCAGGGATTCTTCCAGCCTCTGCCTGGGCTAGGACACTACCTGGCTGGGCAGGGGACAGCAGAGTCACCTGCCACCTCAGGAGGACCCCCTTGTATTTATAAACCATATTGGGGTTTCCCTGGAGCTGAAGCATTCAGAGTGTCCACAACATGCCCCAGATCCCGGATTTTTGTGTTCTCTTAAGTATTTTCAAGCCACCTCAATTGCAGGACTATAGACTCAATGATCCTAACCTGCCCCATGTCCATGATTTATCCAGGAGTGTTGTGGAACCCCACCCCTGTGATCATTTCAACAAGATGCTCAGGAAAAACCAGCTACTGCCTTCCCTGGCAAGTTCAACTCTCCCTAGCACTGTGTCAGAGCTAACAGCTATTGCAGATAAGATCATGAATAGTTAATGTTCTCAGTTATCCAAGCACATTTTAAAATTAACACAAGCCTGGTGCTGATGAGAGCAAAAAACTGGGCCATTAAAGACTGGAAAAAAACAGAAAACAATTGCATTTACCCTTGGGCTTCACTAATGACTGGGTTTTTGTAGAGGATCCTAGTCCTTCCTCCCTTTAATCCTTCAATGGTTTAATACTGGATGCTTCATTAAAGCACCTTCCCTCTTGCCTGCCAGGTTCTCCTCCCCACCTTCCCTCCCACAGGAGTTTGTGGCCCCTTTGGTTGAGTCTCCAGGCTCAGGTGTGATGCTTGATGCCATGAGCATGACCAGGGCACTGCAGGGTGAAGGAGCTGATGAGTACAGTATGGTGGGCAGGGGGCTGAGTGAAGCCCCCTCTAGGAACAGCCCCATATGTTCCTGGGGTACCTCCAGACACCCACTTGGAAAAGTTACCCCCTCATTTCTGGGTTGATGTATTCACCTTCTGCTAAATTGAGCCCCAAGTCCCTCAGCTTAGCAAGGGAATAAGCAAATAGATGACTTGGAAGGAAAAGACAGTCCATGTGTCCATGGGACCCCCAGCCTTGGGGGCTTTGGGCTCCAGTCCCAAGGCAGTCGTGGCTGTCACCTGCATTGGGCGCCCCCTGAACTCTAGATTGCTGTTCCCCACACGTAGGAAGCTGGAAGATGCAGGGGGTCCTTTTTCATAATGAACCCACGTATTCATAGGCAGACAGGAGTACAGGGTACAAATAAACTCCAAATACTAGTTTTTATGGCTTTGGCCCTGAAGTGGCTCACTGGGCCCACCAGCAGTGGGGGGTCACCACCCCAGACAGCATCAGCTGCCTCCAGCCAGACATTGGCAGCATAGGAGCACCAAGTCCCAACAACACGGAGCAGATGATGGCAGAGATCACACAGAGACGTCTGCTGTTGCAGGTAGTGATGGGCATGTGGACATGCCATGAATGTTCACCTGGGCTTCCCCAGGTGAGAAAAGGGGTGGTCAGCTCCTGCTGAGCATTGGAGATGAGATTTCCAACAGGAAAGGAGGATGGGTGAGCTTGTGCCCGCCAATTTATGGGCACTGAGGGAGAAAGGGAACCTGGGAAGGGAAGCCCCCTGGAGACCTGGCACACACCAGGCCCTGGGCTTCCACCCAGTGCTTCTTTGTGTGTCTGACTTGGCTAGTTCTGGATCTGCTCTGAGCTGACCAGGATGGAAATGGATTGAAACACAGCGTAACAGAGAAGGAACAACCACAGAGCATGGCCGTTAATCCAAGGGCCTTTTCCCTGCTGTGCCCAGAGGCAGCCCTGGCTGGGGTTGCTATTAGGAGGGCAATGGAATGCTATTAAGGCCACTGTTTATCTTGTTTTCTCCCAATGAGCTGTCATTTATCTGCTCTTTGAGGGACACGGCACTAATTGAACTCTGAGTGGTTACTGACAGGCACAGCTGCAGGTTCCTTCTGCTCTGTCCTCTCCATCTCCTGATGGTGTTTCACATCAGGATTTCTCTCACACGAGGCAGAACTGGGCTGAGGGAAGGGTTAAAGCTCCATGCCAGGAGCCCCAGCCAGGGATCAGAGCATCCTTTCTCTTGGATCAGGGCTCTCGTTCCAGTTCATCTCTCTTGGCAAAGGCAAATCTTCTCTGAACAAGATCCTCTTGTGCACAATTTGCATGTAACACAGGATAACTGCTCTGCTCATCACTTGGAAGGTTTGGTTTCACATTAGGTTTAATATATCTTCTGAAGACTTATCCATGTAATTCACCCCAGCAGTTGGAAACATCTCTGCTGTCCTTGCACAGATTTATCACTGACACCATTTGCCTGATGCTGGGTGCTGCAGTTGCATCTATTGAGCAGAGTGCTGTGATTTGTGATTTGCCAAAGGGGATTTTGAGATGCAGAAATAAATGTGCCCTGCTCCATTAATAGCTAACAGCCTGCTGAGAGTACCCCTGGCAGCATGCATGGCTTAGGAAAGGTCTGGCTGAACTCGGAGAGGAGCTGTTATGTAGAACAGGACTGATCCTGTCCTGAAAAATTTTAATTAAAATAAATGCCCAGGAAAGGGCCAACCATTTGTGCTGTTGCTTCCTGAGCCTCATCCCTGCTAATTAAGCAGTGTGTCAGTGCAAGTGACCTACAGCTAATGCAGCACCCAATTTGCATTTAAATTAAAAATCATATTTTTAAAAGAAAGGTTTCATTAAGTCCTGTTTGTCTCTCTGTCCAGGCACACACATTATCAAATGCTTCACTGGTTTTTATTGACTGGCAGCAGCTATAGGAGCCTGCATAACACAGGAGATTCTTCAGATGCTTCAACATGGTCAGATCCAGAGAAGTTTTGGTTGAGCCTCTGCTTCCAGAGCTCTGGTGTCCATGTCCAGGCTGTAAAACCTCGGGACACTGCTTCTGACAGTGAGAGGTTCTCGGTGCCCTTCCAAGTGGGATGTCATTTTTGCATGTGGTGTTTTTCCTCCCTCTGTTGGCACTGCCCACAGCTGCAGAGGTCTGCAG